AGAGTTTGGACACCTGTGGAGATTGATTGAGTTTTATGGTCCCATTTCTTGTCCCAAGGTCTTGGTTCCTACATCTCTTCCTTCAGTTATCTGAGTCCCATTAACCAGCCCATCAAGCTAATTTGAATTAGGGTTTCATCATTACTATTAAATACGTTTTTTTTTTTAATGCTGCTGACTTCTCTAAAATAGTTTGAGGACACCTTATTCTTCAGATCATAATTTCTCGGTAAGACCTAGTCCAATGAGGAAAGTCTACCTCCCAGAAAACAGGACATCTTTGCAAATACCTGACCTTGGGAGAAGGAAATGAGAAGCGGTGAGTTTAACTGGCATTACCCATACTAGGATTTGCCTGTAAGACTTTTTACCATAGAGCCAGATTACTTTTGGAGAATCCTAATCTTTTCCATATGAGTCTCCCCTTTGTTAGGGCAAAAACAGACGGTTAAGTACTAAAAAAACATACACTTGAGTTCCCAACAAACCTCTACAAAATGTAAGTATGTTTTTGGGAAGGATTATTCATTATGTCATTATATCTATCCTAGTGTCTTTCAGATTGCATAGAACAGACCTATATGTCATTTACTTTATCAAATGGGAGCTTATTAGAAGTATACACAGCTTGTAATAATAATAGCAATAACAGTAATAACTAAAATTTATGAAGTTTTACTATGTGTACACAATATAGCAAGAAATTTACAAGCAAAATATCATTGAATCCTTATAGCAATCCCATAAGGGAAGTGCATGTATTTCTCCCATTTTGCCAGGGAAACTGAGTCATAAAGAGTTTAAGTACATGCCTGGATTATTTGGGTGACTAGGAGCATAAACCATGGCTATCCAAGGTCAGTGCTCTTAATCATTATTTTACCGTACTAAATGAATCCCAGAAGAATTGGATAATTGGGCCTCTGGGGGAAATAAAAGATGTCAAATTTCAGTTTGCTCCTTGGTCCTATAATCAGGTTCTCTCTTGGCTTCTCCCTCCACTTCCTCTGCTTCTACAGCTGCTTCTTTTTTCTACTTTCTACTTCATGACTTCTGCTACTCGCGCCTTATGTCTACTCCCACATCTTCCTGTGTCTTTCCCCACTGGACTTACTGAGGATCTCTCTGGGTGTTACATTCAAACTTTCTTAGAGCCACCATGTGGTTGGTCTGCTTAATCATTATCAAGTGAGGAGTGTCCTCTCAAGGTAAAATGGCTGTCCTGTTGCTAGTTGTCTTTTGCTCAGGATAAGCCCTGTTCTAACTGGTTTTGGCCAGGGTGATGATGGGATGACAAAGTTTTAACAGCACAGAGGAAGTGTGGCCAGGGTGATGATGGGATGATGGGATGACAAAGTTTTAACAGCACAAAGGAAGTGTGGCAGAAGCACAGAAAAGGGATAGATAAACAATGGAAAGATGTTCTCCATATTAGTCTGCTAGATGTTCTCCATATTAGTCTGCTAATAACACAGTAGCACAGAATGGATTGCTTAAACAACAGAAACTTCTTTTCCCACAGTTCTAAAGGCTAGAAGCCCAAGATCAAGATGCTGGCAGGGTTGGTTCCTGGCGAGACCTTTCTTCTTAGCTTGCAGACGGTGCTTCATCACAGTGTCCTCACAGGGCTTTCCCTCTGGGCAAGCACACTCCTGATATACTCAGCCTCTTCTTATAAGGACACCAGTCCCATTGGATTAGGGCCCTGTCTCAGTTAGCTTTAATTATCTCCTTAAAGGTTATATCTCCAAATACAACCACATTGGGGAGCAAAGCTTCAATTTTGAAGCAATGACACAATTCAATTGGTAATACTCCTAAACTCCTCTCCTTACCCTATAGGTTATGAATAGCCCTGTAATTGTCCTCCTCGTTGCCATGCAGTTCAAAACCTAATGTAGAGTTTCAGCATATCTCATGTCACGACTGAAGGAAAATTTATATTTCTTTGGTGTTTTCTGGAAGTTTTTGTAATGAAGCTGTTGATTCTGCTCAAGAGAAGGAAGCTGCAGAATCAATGTGGAAATCCAAGTCTCTGGGTACAGTTTTGGGAGCTTTATCATAATCCATAAGACTGCAAAGCACATTCGTTTCTCAATGTTTCATGCCATTTAAAGAAGACCATAAAATCTTCATGTGCTCATTAATAAGTAAATAACTCCTTATAAGGGCTAATGTATTTTAAAGTATATGATAGAATATACTCCAGACCTTTTTATTTTTTGAGCTGTGTTATTTGCAAATGGGGCTTCATTGTCACTAATAAAGCACAGTCCCAAGGAAATTCTTATGTAGTTTCTTTAAAAAAAATAATTTTACTTTAAAATACGTAAAATAGTTATTGGGGCGTCTGGGTGGCTCAATTGTTGGGAGTCTGACTCTTGATTTTGGCTCAGGTCATGATCTCATGGCTGTGGGATCCAGCCCTGAGATAGGCTCCATACTAGCAGGGAGTCTGCTTGAGATTCTCTCCCTGTGCCCCTCTCTCTGCGCCTGCTCATGTGCGTGCTGTCTCTCTCAAATAAATAAATAAATGTTTAAAAATAAAATAAGTGCTATATATTATTGTAGATATTTAATAATCTTACTATGTTCATTTATTTTTCCTTTCTATTTCAGTATAAAACAATATTTTAATATAAAACTCGTAATAAAATAGCTCTTCAGTACCAAATGTTAGCAGTATTATTTTAAGAATTAGACTCCTCAGAAACTAGACATCATTTTTTAATTCAAAAGGAAAAATTCTAATACAAGGGATAAACTTCAGCAAATGTGTATTTAATTAGGTTCTTTATTTAACATATTTAAACATCCACCTAATTTAAAAATTAATCCCTTTGCCCCATGCTTTGAATAATATAATTAATAAGGTGTTCACAAAATATTTAAGTAGGGTAAGTTTTCATCCTATTTAAAATAAGATGTTTAAAATTTACTTTTGTCTTCTAGTCCTATAATTTTATGCCTTTATAACAAATACTGTCATGTTAAATGAGTCTCATTTCTTCTAATGAAAATTAATCAATTTCAAAGTTATTAGTGTTACTTCTTAAAGTCACACTAATCCTCCCAAAAATGTTACTGAGACCCTAAAACTAGGTAAAATATCCATTAGCTCTTATATTCGATATGTTTGACATACATATTACATACAAATATTTCCTAAATAAATAATCAAGCAAACCTCCACCTTACTTATATATCTTATTGGACTGATCATTCAAATTTAGATTCTTGTGATACATTAAAGTTTACATCCTTCTGGTCCCCTAAACATTTCAGTATTATGATAGGGGATTGGAGGAGAATCATGATTTGGGAAATTAGTGCTGCAAGCAGATTCTAAATGGAGTCCAGTCACTGTGAGTTCTTCTTTTTGTGAAACTGGAATACATGTAGAATTATTTCTGCAGATCTCGTCAGAAACTAAAAAAGTTTGGTCTCTGAATTTGCAGCTTACAAGTCATTCTTCTGGGATACTTCTAGGGAAAAAAGAGAACTGATTTTTGGGAATAGGAGAGAGGTAAAACAAAAGGTAGAGAGGAACAGTCTGGGAACATGAGGAAAATGAGGCCTGTCTGGGCAAGTATTGCCCCTGCCCAATGGGGAGCGGGAGCTGGGATGCAAAGAGGAGATGGCTCTGAGTAAGCACATTGGCATGAAGACACTGCAGGCACAGTGGGGTTGTTAGGAGGCAGGAGATGGAGTTAATAATTGTATTTTTCATGCCCCAAGTGTTTTCAATCCCTAATGTAACCTATATGACCTGTATTACACATTCTAAACGCAATAAGATTACCAGTCCCCTATATTGCAAACCAGTTCTTAAAAACCCCTCCCCAAGCCTTGTCAGCGAGAAGTCCCCATCTCCCCTGCATTGTCCATGCATCCCAGAGGCTAACTCAATCCAAAGGGGAGCACTGGCCCCCACACCCAAGGGACCCAGAGAGCAGTTTGATTGGTTACTCCTGCCAGATTCTCAAAGCTACTAGCTCTTTCCTGGATCCTATTCCTACAAGAGAGTGCCACCTATCAGGGAGTTTGCCTGACTCATTATTGCAGACTCTGTCCCCAGCTTAGGCTGTCAAGAGTCTCATGCTCAACACCAGCCTGACCCAGAAGCTCCAGGAACATGGGATTAGGAAGACAACTATCTTTGGGACCTAGGGAAAAACCACCCTGAGTGATCCCAAGATGATTTCCTTTTTTGAGGGAGATGTACCTGGTCAGGGGCATGGTCCTAGACTGGCAGGGAGGGGAGTATTGGAGGAGAGAAGTTCCCTTCAGTGACCTCAAGGCTCTTGTTCTACCAAAGAAGAGAAGAAAAAAAAATATATATATATATAATGACATCCAGCAACACATGTAACCAAACTAATCTGTGTTACTAACACTGCCAGAGAACTTGGGAAATTGTGTGCTTAATCTCCAAGTTATAAAATCGGAGACATTTTTAACATCTGCTTTGAAGACAAGCCATAAGGGAAAAAAAATCACAAAAAGGAGACGTTCACAAGGACCTTTTTAAAACTGTAAAGGTTAAACATTTCTTTGCCATCCAAGACTGGTAAATAGAAATTAGTGTTACAGTACATGTGATTGCTATTTAAAGAAGTGTACAATGACAGAGTGTTTCCTCTGCTTACTGTGCTGCCTCTATTGCTGTGTTTAGTGAATATAAAAAGTTTCATGAGAGAAGAGGCCATCTGTTTTTGCTCTCCACTATCTCTGTCAATAAATACTTGTTGAGTGAATGAGTTTACTTGAGACCTTAGTAATTCCCTCTGTTCTGTTTTCCCCATAAGACCTTGCTTTCCCCTACATGGAGTCATTGTAAAGAACAAATAAGGGACTATACGTAAAGCACTTAGCAGGCTCCAACATTTATGAGAACTAAAGGCAACAGTCAAGTAAAAGGAGAACCCTCTCCACCAGCACCCATAGAACACTCCCTTCTACACTTAACCTTGGCTCTGTCCTGTATCATATGGGGCCTCATGGACATGTGTGTGGACATCCCGCACAGCAAAGCTCATCCAATCTTGCCCCCAACCAAGGCAACAGTCATGCTCAGGAAGCAGGACTTTCGGGAGGGGTCCATGCAAGCCCCAGATGGAGGTTTGGGGGCCATTGGGGCAAGCTATTCTTGCATTGGGTACTTGGAATATGGGAGGATAGTGCAGGCTCTGGCTGGACAGGTACCTGGGCACCACCAACTCCTCATTGCCTGGTGATAAAGTATGCAGTATGCACATGGCCAGGGCAACGGCTCCCATTTCCCAGCTCTAAGAGCGGTGTTGCTCCCTAGAACTTGCCTGGTACATGCTATATGAGTGGTGACAGGAAGAGAGAGAGAGAGAGAGAGACTTCTGAACCTGCAAACCTGACTCCAATCAGATTGAATAGATCAACAGATGCAAAGTAAAAAGATATGGATAGGGAGGAGTTGAGTCTGTTTTGGTGAGATAGAAAAGTGAGACTCAGAAAGACAAATCAATTTGGCCACGGCTCACCCAAGTATCAGTGAGATGGCAAACATAAGAAGGCCCCAGAGGAAGGACAGAATTTGACATGGGATCAGGAAAACATCAGAAGTCAATGGTAGCCACTCAGCCAGCCCTCTTTTCCACTTGGGATATTAGACTAAAGCCAACTTCCCTTCACATGACGGCATTATCCCCTACATAAATTGTCCTCTCTGATTTTTCCAATTCAATCTTTGTGTCTCTTGTCTGTTTTTATATATTAACAAAACTTGAGTTGTTTTTTTTTAAATAAAAAAGCAGAAACCTTTGCAGACACCTATTATCTTGTATAGTTTTATTCACTCATTCTTTTCTTTGAATAATATCAAGTGTAATGTCAGATGCCAGGAATACAAAATTGAGTAAGATATAATCCCTTGTCCTTGAGGTTCATAGAGTTAAATAAGAGAGCTGGATATGTGAACAAATAATTATAGTACAATCTGATAAGTGCTGGTTATAGGTAGGAAAAACTGCTGTGGAGCACAGAGGAGGTTAAAAAACTAAGAGTATAGTTTAATGAAGGTCTAAAAACAAACAAGAGAATATTGCCAGAAATACAACTTTCCCGGTGCATAAATGCAAGGGTTTCTCAAGCAATCTTCCTAACTCATATAGATCTCCTGCTGGGACTGTTTGGGATCAGCCTGTAGAAGAAAAAGAAGAATTAACCAAGACAAGGGAAAGGTATTCCAAATCCATGGTGACTAAGAAAGAGGAATGAAAGAAACTGAAATGGACTGCAAACAAAGGCGGGTGTGTGTTAGAGGGCACCATTTGTAACTAGAATGATGGAAAAGTATAATTTTAATTTTAATTAGCAATCTGAACTTTGTCCTTCATTCTGTGGGCACCTTCCCTGATTGTTAATGGCTATTCCAAATATCTTTTAAAAATCACAAGAATCATTTCTCTTTTAGTAAATGTTTAGTTCAGAGTCAGAAATTGCAAGGAATGCAGAATTCCTCCCATTAAACGTGGCTTTGTTCCCTTTTGTGCTTCCATGATGCAGTTTTGGCTCTTGATTATCACTACAGACAATTTAAATCAAGAAACACTACTGCCTCTTATGGCAACTCAAATAATCTTGAAGTGAAGTCAGACTGACCTACAGAAATCTTGCACGAGTAATACAATAGTGAAGAGAACATCATTTCTAATCATGCCATAGGTTTTTACTTAATTATTTTAATCCAGTGGGTTTTTTTTTCTTTTGAGGAAAAAATGGCATTTTTAAAACAAGGACCACCTAGAGGTTTATTTGAAAATTGTGACTTTACTTACAGAAAGAAATGTAATTTAATCACTTTTTCCCAGCTGTTCCCTTCATTGTGCAAAATAAGAAAAAAAAAAATCCCACCTGGGAGGGTTGGGTGGGGGTGGCGGTTGACCATAAGACTCAAAACCCAGCTTTCTCCTTCAACTTGGTCAAATTACTCAATCTCTTGAATGTTCTGTTTACAACTCTTTCTTATAAAATATGCTTCTAAATCCACAAGAGTGTGAAATGTCATACTAATGAATTTGACTCTTAGAGGGTTCTGCCTTTAAGTTTTCAGACAACTATAACCACACATGGAGTAGAAAGAAAGCTGGATGGGACTCCAGATATTTGTGAGGTAAACTGCTTATGAGACATGTTGCCCATCAGTTACCTGGAATATATCGTTTAGCTCTCAGTTTTCTCATTTCACTGTCTCTAAAAAATGGATCCCAGATTGAAATGCATTTAGGTATAAGGCAGGTAATGTAATGTAAGCATGTGACTGGGCTCACAGGTCAGACAGTGGTAATGGTGGGCAGCATGGTGGGTAGAAGATCATTTTCTCTCCCCCAAGGGCATTCAAAGCCAAAGTTAAAGAAAGAACAACAATCTGTAAGCCAGATGGATCCTGGAGGTTCCCTGTTTACAATCTTTGGGTTAGATAATATTCCCTCCCTCTCCAGTTCTCATAATTCTGTAGTCTTTGTTTCTTTGGCTTCAAGTCAAAGTCTCCCAGCATCTGAACTATCCCGATTGCAAATCGGGAGGCTTTGAAAACTTCATTAATTCTTTGCACCACCAGAGAGCCCTCCCATAAATTACTTATTTGGTTGCACTCTTTATGTATTACTCAATGATTGCAGCCTTTAAAGCTGTCTGACAACCTTATTTGTACTTGGAGAAATGAACAGAGCTTGTAATATGAATTATGAAGACATCAGAGACTACAAGTGTTAATCAATTTAAGAAAGTAGCACCAAATTTTAAGCAACTTCATCTGGAGAAAAAGGGTGTGTTTTAAGTCAGCTGTAAGCCACCCAAACTTAAAAATAACCAGTGACTGTGTATTCCTTTGCCGGAATGTATCTTCAAAATGGAGATAAATTCTTGGGGCCTGAAAATCAATTGCAGTGTGATGAAAGAGGGAAGTAGCAATTTCCCTGCTTCAATAAAACATCTCAAATTTGCCACATGTTAAAAGATACCCAGGTACAAACAGCAATGAGCTCACTAATCAGAATTCGGTTAAGATGAAGGAAAAGAAGAAAGCAACAAGAGAAAATTTTGAGAGAATTAAGTATGTTCTTGGTTAAGTGATTCATTGAGGTAGAGAAATCGCATTATCCATAACTGTCCACATGATTTAAACTCAGGGAAATAGAGCTAATTTCAGCTGGAATAAGTGAGCACATCTAGCAGAAAATAAAGTCAAAGAATGTTTAATCTAACCTATGCAAATGGCAGCAAAATAGATTCTCCAAAGCAGCATTAAAAGAATAGATCTTATACCATTTTAATCTTCCATTGACGGAGCACAATACTGGGCACAATGAAAATACTCCACAAATTACTGGGGGGGGGGTCGTTGTTTTGTTTTAGATTTTATTTATTTATTTATTTATATTTATTTATTTATTTATGAGGGACAGAGAGAAAGAGAGAGGCAGAGACACAGGCAGAGGGAGAAGCAGGCTCCATCCAAGGAGCCCGACATGGGACTCGATCCGGAGTCTCCAGGATCACACCCTGGGCTGAAGGCAGCGCTAAACCGCTGAGCCACCTGGGCGGCCCTCCACAAATTACTGTTGATTGCCTGACATCATGTGAAACATTTATAATAAACTGAATGTTGTGTTTAAGAATTTTTATCTAGAATAATCAGCCATTTCTAATTTTTACAGGTTCAAAATGGTTCTCCCGTCACCAAACAGCTGGCATTAGGACTTTTATGTTGTGCTGAGTAACCACCAAGGCCTGTGAATGCTAGTCTCCTTCTCTGATCAATCCATCAATAAAGAGTTAATTAATGGCCTTTTTCATGCCAAACCCTGAGATAGATTTCTTAATAGCAGTGAGCAGAATTTTTGTAAATAAATTAACTCAAAATGGCAAAGTAGTTACAATAAATTGAAGCATGTTTTATGGGTCTTGAAACATAATTATACTAACTTGGAAAGCTCATATTTGTTATATATATAAAAAGGCAATAAACCCAAATTAGCTATGTACCTCAGTCATGATTATCATTTAATATATTTGCAATTAAGAAGGATGCTTAGATCAGTCACAAGAAAAGCAAAAACTAAACTGAAACAGAAAGTGGTTTGTTTTAATCACAGCTGTTGAAACAGTATATGGAAAATGTGGGAATTACTCTATCCTTCAAGGCTGAAGGTAATTTTTTGTATTAAATAATAGCAAGCTACCTACTCCATGCTAGAGGATGAGACAATATGCTGAGGTCATCTAAAACAATGTCTTAAAAATAGAAGGCTGTGTGTATGTTTGTGTTGGGGGTGTATATATGCCTTATTTTATTTTATTCTGCTTTGTTTCTGTTTGTTTTAATTTTTAAACACAAGCAGGAATACAACACAAATTTAAATACAAGTTTTGTAGGATGCTAAACATCTGCTTGAAAAATGGGAGATTTTATTTTTAATAATACCCTTGATTACATGGATATTTAGTCTCCTACAAATACAAAGACACACACACACACACATCCCTTTAGTTTTCTCATCTTTATTCAGCATACCACCCCAGGAAGTTCCTAGTGAAAGACTGGGTGACAAACAAGGGAACTGAAATCTCAAGAGGATGAGCACATGAATTTTTATTCTGTAAGAGTTTAAGCATGCAATGAGTTGATGGGTGAGTGGCAATTCCATCCCTACCACCAGCTACCCCACTCCTGATCTGAATGCCCTGTCTTTCCTAAGATTCTTTCTAAATCTGGGCCGAAAAGTCAGCGCCAAAGGGAAACTGCCTCTGCGAGCTCCCCTGGGAGGTTTTCAGTAAGAAGCATTGGGATTCACCATGTATAGAGTCCCCATATTAAAGCTACAATATTTTGAATCTGAATTTGAATTAGCCATGTATTTTTATTCCATAACGAATATCTATTAGGTAACTTATCATGTGCCAGGCACATTTTAGACACTGAGCAGACTGTCAAGTAAAAAAAAAAAAATTGGATTTATTCTTAAAGCAGACTTTAAGAATTATTGCAAGGAGGGGAAGGAATTATTGTCACAGGAAGAACACTGTGCCCATAAGAGCTGTAAGCACCCCCAAGGGTTAGGAAAAAGAGTTATGTGTTGATTTTTTTTTAATAGGAAGGAGCAAAAAAGCTGAAGAAGTGGGCATGGGGGAGTGGGATGGAAGAGTGGCCTGATCAGTGAAGTAG